TTAGGGCAGATGGCATATGAGATGGTTCTGCTGTCTTAATCTCACCTTGCCACCTGCTGAAATGGCCCAGCTAGGGACCAGTGAGTGCTTGGGATGGTTAGTGAATATTGTATGTAAATCCCATTATTAAATGGGGAGGATAAATTCAGAAGGTTGGTTGGGTTGACAGGTCTCAGAAAAATGAGACATAGAGGAAACCAGGTTGCAGATCTATACACTACTCTGGATACTTGCACAAATATACTATATTCTCGAGACTACAAGACCTGTGGCATTAGCACAGAATAGGTTTGGGGAGAACAGGTTCATGCCTCCTAGGAGAGTGGATTTCTCACTTTTTAAGGTAAAGGGTTCAGTTTTCTTTTCCCAGACAGCCTAGGCTCTAAAAAGGGAGGGGAGGCAGCCCCAGGGCCAGGCACTGCCCTGAGCCACATTTGCTCCTGGAAAGTTTCAGCAGTGACACTGACTTATGCTCCTGCTCATGGGTCTGAACACTCCATGAACTTAACCAGAAGAATTTGTAATGGTAACAAGCATGACTTGCTTCAGGGAAGACAGGGACCATCTACACTGCGGAAATGCCAAACTGTTTTTCTAACTTGTAGTATATTCGGTGCAACTGAAGTAACGGAGAACCACAGACTATAGACAAATTGTGAAAAAGATATTTTCACTGAACATTGTTTCAGATTACTTTTGGCAATGTCCTTCCTCTGAAAGCATTTTCCTCTTACTCTTGAGAGGCAACCAAGCCCGGTGAAAACTATGTGGTCACTTAGCACCCTGCCAGGATGATTCTGTGCTGATGCTGGCAGTCAGCCCATGCATCTGCTCCCAGCCACACTGCCCCTCCTCATTACCTAAATCTCTTGTTTGGCCCCAACTGCCACACATGAGGTAGTCATGTTGTCAGTTAAGACAACAGCTCTGACAAAATCCCAGCATCACCAGCACAAGAACTGCATTGCAACACTCATAATCAGTGGCAACGTGATGGCCTTTGAAGGATAACGGGGACAAGAAATCCATTATAAAAAGTAGAATGCTAACTTCAAAAGTGATGAGACCAACACCATAGACATTAAAAATTACAAACATCAAGTACCTAATATGCGTGTGAATTTGCAGAGCTAGTCACCGTGATTTCAAAAATTACCATTTCTGTTTGAAACAAGCAACATGAAGATAGACATTTCTTGCTGGCTATTTAGGAGCTTCCTGATACGCACTACAATAACGATAGCCACTAGTAGAGAGATGAGAAACTCCATTCTTCTGTACTGGTGCACATCTAGAACAGCACTGCTTCCAATTGTAGTGACTTTATTTTGCTTCAGTAGAACGCAGAATCTAGAAGAATGAATAATAATGAGGGCAGTAATGTTTTTTAGGAACTTATGGTTCACCTCAGTACATTTCTGATTGTTATTTACAAAGAAAATGGTAACGTGGAGCAGCAAGATTTAGTGTCAGCAAACAGGTTTTACATATCTTCCTCCCTACCCAGGGACAGCAATATCCAAGTGACAGTCCAGCCACATTCTCTTTTTGAAGAGACCTTCCCATGCAGTCACAGTGTTATTGCTGCTCCACCTGGTTATTGCAAAGCACTTAACTGGAAACTGCTTTGTGGGAAAGTAATAGGTAATCTTCATCTGATCCTCTCTGGGACAGTCTCTTACTGACCAAAACAGAGAGCACGCTCATCATTGTAGCACATCTTCTACACATCATGCCTACGCCGACTTTCCATACCTCCTAGATACTATCATAGATCAGAGCCGCACATTATTAGAATATTCTGAGGAACTTAGACAAGTTCACTCATCTGTTCTTGCTAGAGACAAAATACTGGGCTAGACAAGCATTTAATGCAATCCAGAACTGCTGCTCTTGTGCAATTACTGACATAAACACCGAGCTAGATAACTTCTGTGGTGCTGGCATTAAAGCTGCAAACCACTCGAGTCTCTGAAGCTACCTACTTGGAAAATCACTCATTTCAATCTTCAGCAAGTCTTGTGCCCACCCACACTAGGTGGCCTTGGTGAATCTTGGGAAGAAACCCTTAGGGAAAAGGACATGTTCTCAGATGGACAAACATGGCTGTCACTCAGCTCCAAGATCAAAACTCAAGTGGGTTCTTCCATTGTCTCTCCCCAAACACAACCGAATGGCCTGCCAGTACTTTCCCTTGAAATAATAAAACATGTTTATATTTAATGACTGAAAGACAAAGAGAAAATAGCAAGGTCACCTATACCCTGGGAATAAAGGTACTAATGGGATATATGACTCGAATCAGTTGAAGACAGGAGAGCAAGGACAGAAAACAGACAATTCTCTTCTCCGTACAAGTAATCTGCTCACACTTCTAACTCCTTCTGGAAGGTTTTGTTTCAGCGACATTGTTTTACGATCCATGTTCTCCATTTGGGTTTACATGCACTCACTTCACAGTTTGCCTCTAGAAAAGATTAATCTTTCTCTTCCTAATCTGAATTCCTGTTTTGACTACTCGGATCTCCTGTGTTGGCACATGTGTTGTTCACATGAAGATGGAAAAGCTGTAGGAAATTAAGGCAGTTATTTTCGTGAGTGGTACTGATAAGCTACAACGACAGTTTTTCAGCTTTCCTCAAATACTGGAGTAGTTCAGTTATAAAGACAAGGTAAACATTATATCACTATTTTTTATTTGCTATAATCAATCAGCATCTGAAACAAAAACAAACATACTTTAGAATGCTTTTTTTTTCTATAGGAATAATCAACACAACGTTAAGCTACAATTAATACCAAGGTTAGGAAACGCACTCTGGCATGAATGGTCCCTCCTTGCATTGAGAAGGGTAAATAAAGGGTGCACGACCTTGACTAATGCAGACAGGGGTTTTGCATAGTATGTGCACACACACACACCACTAAAGAAAACAGTCCCCACTTCATAGTGCAGGCAGGCAAAAGCCAGACTTTTTATTTAAGTTCAAAATAACAAATACTCACCTACATCACAGTATACTGCTCGGTTTATCGCTTCGGCTTTGAATTCTGTGCTTTCCTGTGTCTACGTTTTGCAATTGTTTACACGCTGCAAAATTAACTTTGTATATCATTTAGCATCTGTGCATATCCTTTAGAATTTAATGTTACACTGAAATTATAAGAAATCTTGAATTTTAAGGTACCGGAAGTAATCGATAAAATTCCACTAAAAAAAAAAAACAGTATAAATGTTTCTTATAGTACAGTACTTGTTATGTGTAATTTTAATACCATAGTTTTCAATTATTGACTGTATAAAGAGAAGCCTAGGCAAAAAAAAAAAAAAAAATCTAAAATGCCATTCCTAAGTCTGTTAAACTCTGGTGACTTATGATATATGTACAGTATATAAATATATTTATGTATATATGTACATATATATTGGTTAACATTCATTATAAATAGAACCATGTTAACTTAAGCAGTATAAAAATAGCCACTTTCCTGGGAACATGCAAACACAGTATGCTCTCACCTAATCTATAAAACCCAAAACAACCAAAACCTTTAACTCTGGTTTTCTATAAATATAAATTTTAATTTAAGACTTTCAGCTGATTTAACCATAAAGTAAGGTTTTCCAGTAAAGATACAAAATCTGTTTGATGCTAGCTATAATTAAGCTCAAACACAGTATATTTTGGGTTATTTACTTTCAAGTATTTTTCCCATGTGCGCTAAATCTAGACACACTGCATTTTTTTCTCTTACAGTAAAATATTATTCAGCTCTAAATACTAAAAGCCAAATTACAGGCAATTTGGCATGCTTGCACTGCAGGGAAAAGGCTCTCTTCTATGCTCTTCCTATGTGGGAGGCTGTCCTAATATGGCTATTTGTGCTCTAGATCTTTTCTTCACTGCAAAGCATTATCAGGATTCCCATATCATAAATTCTTAAGGCCAGGAGAGAGAACTACAACCACTTAAGTCTTATCTCCTGCTTACTGAAATTCACTTTGAGGTCCCTGCATTCAGCACAGCGACTGATAGCTGGACTAAAACACCTCTCCTGTTACAGCCAAGGAAGTTCCAGCTTCAGAAGCTGAGTGAGATCTTGACTTTTTTTTGTGACTTTTCCCAAGGGGAAAAAATTCCGGTTCCATCTGAACCAAATGTGACATTTTCCCTTTTTTCTTGCCATATGAAAAACTGAAAAAATTGTTTTGCCCTGAAACATTCCCTTCTCCTTCAAAGTGCTCTGAGTACTAGTTAGGAAAGCAAAAGGAAAAAAAAAAGGGGCTACATTCAAAGGTTCTGTCCCTCCACCTACCCGGCAGCGCAGAGAACACGCACTGTGTTGGACTGTGGAAGAAAGAGCGCCGAGTCATTCTTCTGCTGACCAGATCTCAAACATCTACCAGAAGAATGCCATAAGCACACAAATATGCCAGTTGTGGCATACACTGACTCTTTTTTGTTCCACTCCACATAGCTAAAAACCCACTCCTGCCCATTTCAGAGCACAGAGGACTGAAATGCAGCTGTCCTCCTTCCCTACAAGCCCATCTCACCCAGCACTTTGAATTGGTCTTGCTATCTCTCAGAGTTTACAAAAGTATTTCATACAAAGACAAACAGCACAAAAGACTCAAGGCACGCTTTCTTCAGGACATTATTCTTGTGATTAGGGGACCTTTTAAGGAAGTAGGAAATTTGGATGTAAATGGCATGGGCAAAGGAGGAACTGGAGCCTTGTTTTTTTCATTCCTTGAATTGTTATTTGCACCTGCAAGTCACTGGGTAATAGAGGGATAGATATTGCTCTGGAAATATTTTACAGATTATTTGGTGTGTTTAGACTAAATCTGTGACTACACTTCTCACAATCAAAAGTGCACATCACAAAATTTGGTATACCACCCAGTTACAAGATGAGGTGTGCAACCAAATGAGTTGCACTTTGGTGAAGTCCTATTCTCCTAAAGATGTTGGGTGAAGTTGCTTGTGCACACCTTCCTCTCTGCCACCTCTGAAGGTGGTACAGCTAGCTTCTTATCCTTCAAGCAAAATGGCCTAATGTTCCCAGCCACATCCTACATTTTTCCCCCATTCCCAGGGTGGCTCCCACATTTTTCCCCAGAAGTCTTTTCTATGACAGAAGTGATGAATCCTTGTTAAAGTAGCACAGTCTTCCAGCTTTTATATTTTCAGAAAAAAAAAATAGGAGGTGTTTTATTTCTTATGGTAAGTAGCATAAATGCACCAAAACAATGGTATGGATACCCCTGTATTAATTGTTTAGAGAGCTGTCATTGGAAGTTGGGGACTGGGAAGTCACAAAAGGCTCATTTGCCTTCTGATCGTCCTTCATGGAGGCTGCCTGGTCTGAGATGGAAGAGAAGGAGAGCTGGTCATGTTCCATTATATTCACTTGGTCCTCTTCTTTGTCCTTCTTCACATAAAACAACTTCCTAAACTTTTTGAGCTCGTGGAGTTCACAGAAAGTCTCGAGAACCACCAACATCGCGATAAGGCCCAGCAACAGATAACCTGGGTAGAAAACAAGAAAGTGTTTTAATTATTAGCAAATTAAGTGGGGCTGGAGCAATTTTAACCCTGTAACTTTTCCCACTCTTGTTATTTCTGAATAGTATATGTTCATTTTCTTCATGATCTAGTTTCAGAGCTCTGTAACTCACTTCAGACTGTCAAATTTTTTTTTTTTTTTTTCCTTTTTCATTGTACAGTCAGGAAGTTCCCACACTATCAAAAAGGTAATGGTAGTGGCTTCAATTCTGTTACAACTGTACAAGAGAAAAATATGTAAAGGCATTAAATGAAGCAGAATACTAAAACTTACCACATGCATCTCCCCCACTTACTTATGACCTTAATGATTAAGTGTTCCTCAAAGGATTTTTTTTTTCCATTGATATTTCTACGTGTTACAAATAGAAGTAAAAATACGGCAGCTAATTACAGTTATTTCTTGTTTGTAACAGTTTAGCTGGACAAATCACTTATATTTCATGAAAACTTTTAAATTATTTTCCCTTAAAATTATAAGGAGAGCTAACCAACACCCTGAAATGAGTGGAAAAACAAAGCAGCTAGAAACATGTACTAAACTAGTAAAATCAAAATGAAAAATTGCTGTAAAATTACTGCTGCTATTTTAAAAACCTAACAAAGTTGCTATATCTGATGACACCTTGAAAATTATTTGCAATGTTTTATTAATGTACCTAAACTACCCAAAGTTGGAAGAGTTACTTAAATGATATTACTGATGACTTCAGTGGTGTACTGACTGATTTTTAAAGGTTATAGTCAGCTCTCATAGTCTGAGACTTTTGGAAGTGGAGCTCCGTAATGCTTAACAGCCCACTGTGCTGCTTTTATGTTTTTCCTCTCTCCAAACATATGCATCTAGAATTTGAGGCAAGGTGTTAAAATGAGCATTCCTTAATCACAGCGTTTCATTAGATCCCTGCCACTAATCATTACATTTCAATGTGGAGCATGACTACTCGAATATTTTATCATTTCAACGAGTAAATCAAGCAGAAGTTAAGTGTATAATTATTAGTTCGACATGCTCATCCAAAGGCTGAACATTAAATGTGCTGAAAGATCAACACAAATTAATTATTATAATCTACATATGGTATCTGTTCTATTACCTAAAGGCATAAACATTTCACCTGTAGTTACAGATTATTCACTGGCAACAGCACTCTCCTTTTCCTTTCAGGAGCACTATTCAATCAATATTGCAGCACCAGGTACTGATCTAAATCAGCACTACAGCTAAAAGTTATGATTTATTTTTAAGCTTTATCTTATGACATCAAATGGGAGCTATGCGTTAACACAAGGAAGAAACGATAAAGCTATGCTTTTTAAAGACATCCATAAATGAGAATTTTCTATTTATCTCTGAAATTCAGTCCAGCTGATCACCACTTGATTTAGAACAGGACTTGTGTTATCCTAAAAATTCTTGAAAAGCCTGTAGCACTCCTTAAGCATTTACTGATGTAGAACTCCAAAACTTTTCTTGAAGAAAATTTACATTTGGCATGAGAAAACATTTTACACCTCCTGTTCAGTTCTTTGAATTGTTCACATGAAGGGAAAAATAATAATTTTAAAGCTATGAACTTAAAAAAAAAAAAGTTGAAATGAAATATTCTAAGCTCATAACTTTGCCCAAAAGCTATTTTTTCCTTTTAGTATTTCCTGCAATGTTGTGGTGAGCAGAGCCCGCCCTAGGCAGGGATCGGCGTGCGGAAGATCTGGCGATGTAACGGAAAGCTCAGACTGCCCACGAGGGGCCTTGTGGGTGTGGCTTGTGCTATATAAGCAATTGCAGCTGCGCAATAAACGCCATTTGCAACATCCTTCATATTGAAGCCTGTGTCTGTGATGGTACCCAACGGCAGAGGTTGGGTGGCAGAGATCCCGGGGATCGGGTGTCGGTAACGACACTGCAATTTATTTTCTAGGTTTTCTAAAGTTTGAAAAAGGGTAATCTGGACCATAATGTTTTCTTCCAATTTTGAACTTTCAGAACATCTAGAACCTTTATAAGGCTTTTACTATGTGTGACCTTCACCATTTGCTTTGTCATTTAGCATCCCCAAATGAACTCTGCTGCTCAGCAGGGTAATCATTAAAAGCTACTGCTGGCAAGATAATAAACACGATGGGTAGAGGGGGAAATCTCCTGCAATGACCACAGGCTTAGCAGGAGAATAAAATAAATTGCTCTGTTGGCTAGTTCAAGGCTCTGCTTCAAAGAATGAAAATTCAAGACTTGTTCTCTCTTTAGGTAAAACACAAAACTATGCTAATGGGGCACCCTGCCTGCATTAAGACTGCTGGCTCATGCACAAGAGCACAGACAAATGCATAGCAGCCTAAGAAACAGACCTGACAGGAAAGGTTTGTTTTGGCTGTTCAGATCTTTTAACTGCTGAGTCTAATGACCCAGGACTGCACAGACTGAAGCTGTATCAGGAACTGGGTTGCTTCATAACACTGTCACCAGAGAATTTTGCCCTCAGCATACATCCATTCAGAATACCAACACAAAGATCATTTTCTTAGCTTTGATCAAATCACTGATCACTGTGCCTCTCTTCTGTGTCAAACGTAATTAAACAATTTCACATTCATGGTCTTGCTTTGTTATCATCTCAGTCTACTTGTCTCTCTTTGACAGCTGGTATGTCCCAGTGCCAGCTTCAGCTACCTTCTGTAACAACTGGAGTCAGAAACTTTGTTATTCTGCCTCATTTCCCATTGCTCTGTGATCTGTCTCCATCCACCTACTGTCTCACCCTAAGAGATGACCTTAGGTTACGAGGATCATCTTTCTGGCTCTCTGATGCATTGAAATCTTACCCCAAGATGCTCATAACTATTTTCATTACAGTAATGTGAGCATTTCATTCTACTGTTAGTAGGAGAGTAAGTAGCTATGGTTTAGCACAACAGTTTATGGGTTTAGCTTCTTCTTTCTTAACTAAAAAACTTGCCTAATTTGAAAGTTTCCTCTTGGCACAGCTAGGTACAATGCCCAGTTTGCTAGCTGACAGCTCACAAAACAATCACCATGCATGGAATGGAGAGGGAAATTATTATTTTTTATTTTTTCTTTTTTTAATAAAACGTCCTTTATTTAGCTGGTTACTTCGACACTTACATGTAATTCCGATTTTATACAGCTCTCTGAATTTTTGATTGTAGCCTTCTCCTGGCACATAGTCTCCGAGGCCAATGGTGCTCAGGGAAATGAAGCAAAAGTAAAAAGACTCCAAAAAATTCCAGTCATCTTCCAGAACAGAAAATATTGCTGCCGGGATTAAGAAGAAGCAGGAGACAGTGATGAACCCAAGGACTACAGCGTGGATGATGGCAACGACCTGCTTGGAGAAGCCCCAGCGAATGTGGAAGTAGAGCACAGGCCTCCTGGTGACGTAGACGATGATGCGCTGCACCACCGCTGTCAGGAAGAGCAGCGTAAACGGGATCCCGATCACCGAGTAGATGATGCAGAAGGCCTTTCCTCCGTCAGATAAAGGCACTGTGTGTCCATAACCTGCAACAAAGCACAGGAGGCACAGGTTGGGCTAAAGCTGGGAGCTCACGTACCAATCTGATATTGGCTATACAGCAGGAGATGAAGAACTGCTTCACTGTTGGCAATTCTGAATTCTGCTATTCTTGACAAATGCTGTTCAAAGGTCTGTTTTAAGCAAGGCAAACAAAGCCTGACTACTAGAAATAATCTAGTAAAGATATATATATATAAAAAAAATTTCTATTTTTAAATTCTGAACATAGCTCTATAAATGCTTTTTTTTTGAAGAAGGAAGTAATGTCTAGTCAGGAGTGGAAATCCATGCCAGGAAAACTGTTTTATTCTGAGTTTTCCTGTTGATTTTGTCTGTTTAATTTGCCAAAGTGAAGTAACTTCTTTTATCCACTTTGTTAAATGGAATAATTCATACATCAGAAAAACCTTCCTGGAACTACTGTGCAGTAAGGCTCTCTAAGACCTTTTGTGAAAGCCATCTCAATTACACAGAAGTATTATAACCAGCATTCCACGCTATATGCTTCGATGCTTCTGCAAAGTGTTTAAATGATAATTCATCGAAGATATCTAAAAGCAGAACAAACATTTTCACAGCAAAGCTCCTGGGATCAAAACCACTGTTGCTGGATTTCTACCTAGTCAACACTGTCAAGTCCACCTCTAAACCACATCCCTAAGTGTGCCACATCTATACGTCTTTTAAATTTCTCCAAGGATGGTGACTCCACCACTTCCCTGGGCAGCCTGTTCCAGTGCTTGACAATCCTTTTGGTGAAGAATTTTGTCCTAACATTCGATCTAAACCTTCGCTGGCACAACTTGAGGTCATTTCCTCTTGTCCCGTCGCTTGTTCCTTGGGAGAAGAGACTGGCACCCACCTTGATACCTTTCAGGTAGCTGTAGACAGCAATAAGGTCTCCCCTCAGCCTCCTTTTCACCAAGCTATACAACCCCAGTTCCCTCAGCTGCTCCACATAAGACTTGTGCTCTAGACCCTTCACCAGCTTTATTGCCCTTGTTTGGACATGCTCCAGCACCTCAACGTCCTTCTTGTAGCGAAGAGCCCCAAACCAAACCCAGTATTTGAGCTGCAGCCTCACTAGTGCCAGGTACAAGGAGATGATCGCTTCCCTAGTCCTGCTGGTCACACTGACACAAGCCTGGATGCTGTTGACTTTCTTGGCCACCTTCATGTCACGTATTTGAGCTGCAGCCTCACTAGTGCCAGGTACAAGGAGATGATCGCTTCCCTAGTCCTGCTGGTCACACTGACACAAGCCTGGATGCTGTTGACTTTCTTGGCCACCTTCATGTCACGCTGCTGGCTCATATTCAGTCGGCTGTCAGCCAACACCCCCTGGTCCTTTTCCACTGGGCAGCTTTCCAGCTGCTCTTCCCCAAGCCTGTAGTACTGTACGGGGACCCAAGTGCATGACCCAGCACTTGGCCTTGTTGAACCTCATACTAGTGGCATCGATACAGTCCCCCCTACCCCAGCAGCTGCCCAGCTTGGTGTTGTCTGCAAACTTATTGAGGTGTTAGTGATCTGATCAGTGATCTGTTCAGAGTGCAGGAACTTACCCACTGGTGCCCAGGCTGATCACGGCCAGCACTCTCAACTCCCGAAATGCGTGCAATCAGCCCTGCACCCAGCGACAGCAGCTACGCTGCCAAAGCACACCCTGCCAGATAGCCTGCTTCCAAATGTAAATCATAGGCACAGGAAAGAACAGTAAATCCAGCACAAACCAGGAATGTGTTCTTCTCCTTGCCAAACTAAACACAAAAAAAAAAGGCATTTTGTTTTCATTGCAACAAGGAAAAGGAAATCTCTTGAAATCTAGTCTGGGCACTGATATCAAACCAAGCAAGCGCCAGGCCCTAGTAGTTCTGCAGCCTGATATCTGTCAGCTCATTTGGGTTATGGTAGTGCTGTACAACAAGGCACTTTCCAGAGCTACTGCAACTGGCTATCTCCAGGAGCCCAGGCAAAGCTCAGTGACTACAGGGTTATGCTGCTTCCGAGCTCTGAACTGGGCTCACTCTGTACTTGCCCAGTGCAGCACCGGACCAGGCAGACATCCTCCGAGGGCTCGCGGGAACCTTCTGTCTGCATCCCTTTGAAACAGAGTGCTCTGCAAGCCCTTCAGGTTTTATACAACCATGAGAGACTTCCCCTCTGCTTTAATGAATTTATTAGTAGAAGCATTGCTCTTTTAAGTTTTCCATCAGAGTAAGAAAAGGAAAAGTTCTTTTTATTTAAGATGCACAGAGACACTTCCAGAGAATGAAAGTCAGGCAAAATGACTTATCATTACAATATACAAAGTCTTAAAGAAGAAATGCGTGAGGTTTAATTCCTCCATGTTAGCTAACCTGGTAGGAAACTTCAGTTGTATTTGAATTTTAATGACATTATGAATAAATTACCCAAGCTCAGTCTTTTGAGCCCCAGAAAATCATATTCATTAATTACTTTTTTTTATTGCTCACCTTCTGTTTATTCACTCTGAGGTAAGAGAGACAGAACTGCACAGAGCACTCCAGATGCAGCTGAATCAGATTTATGAATTTGCAGAGAAGATTTCTCACCCTGTGTTTTACTCCACCCCTAACAACACTGGATGTGTTCCAATATCTAAAGGGTGACTCCCTTTTCACAAGGAATCACATGAAAAAGATGAGGGGTAATTGGTACAAGTTACTCCTGGGGAGATTCTGATTGGGCATGGGAAACTTTTTCAGTATGAGAACTATTGGCCATTGCAATCATCTCCCCAGAGAAGTGTTGGGATTCCCTGACACTGAATACTTTTAAGAACTGGCTGGACAGGGGGGCCACCTTGTCTAGATAGTGCTTTTGCCAAGAAAGGTTGGACCAGGTGACCCTTGTGGTTCCATCCAAACTGGTATTCTGTGATTGGACTGGCACTTCTGACTATCACTGAGCTGACACCTTCTTGGCCCTGTCTATCAGAACCCCAAGATCTTGTCCCTCGGAGATATCCAGGGATCCACCACTGCAGATCCCATCCCTTCATGTGTGAAACTACGACTGGTTTTGTTGTGAGCGTGACTTAACACCCCCACTCATTTTCAAGTGCCATTTTATTGCCCAATTGCCCTACAGCTCTTCCATCACCCTTCTATCTTAAATAATTTTGCTTCTTTAGCAAACTGCTACCTCCTTCTTCCATGTCATTTAGGAATAAGTTGAACAGCACAAGCCCTAACACATGCCTCCATGGAACAACCCTGGCGACATTCCCCTTCTTCAGGAACTTATTTTCTCCTACTTTGTTTTCTGTCTTTCTCCATCTCACATCCATATGCGGACCAGCCCCAGTTGTTTAATTTTCCTGAAAGTATTATGTGACAGACAATCAAGTCCAAGTTTTGAAGAGAAGGAAGATGTGTGTTTTGAGTTGGTCATAGGGTGTTCTAAAACTGACTCATGTGACACAAACACAAAAACGTCAAGTGCAATGCTCCATCTCATAAAGGCGTCTTCAGCAAGGAAGAACCAGAGGTGTTCTAAGTAAGATGCAGATCTCATCTGGCCTAATCTACCTTATTCAGTATATCCACACTTAAAGAATAAATTCACACTGGAAGAAGAGCAGAGAAAGGTTAATGAAACCATCAGGGGAAAAGAGACTATTTCACCAGAGGAAAATAAAAGTGGTTTGCTTCCTTGGCACAGCTGAATGGAGGCTGAGAAGTGATACAGTATCTCCCTGTTAATGCATCAGCATGCAGCTATCACCAAGGGAAAAGAAATGCTCTAGATGAAGAATAGTACTGCCACACAGACAAATAGCTTTGAAGTAGCATGAATAAATTCAGTCAAGAAATTGGAAAAAGGTTTTCAAGCTTCAGAAGAGTTTTGGTGCAGCCATCTACTTTCAGCAGTGGGGAAAGAATACAGCTATGTTTAAAAAGGAACCTGAAGAAGCTTGGTAACTTTATGGATGGCACAGTATCACGAGACTATACATGACAAGAAGAAATTGAGCTTGCAGTCCTAGAAAGTCCCTTGCAATCTCCAGGATTTTAAATTTAAAATAAGTTTGCACCATACAACCAGTCCAAGCTTTCATTGATTTGAACCAAAACATTTGTATCGTGTACAAAAAAAAAAAAAAAAACCACCAAAATCTGACACATTTCTTGGTTTATTATGCACAGAGCAGGCTGATGGCAATTCAGTTCCAGTCTTTGCACTGGCTTTAGCAGCAACCAGCTCATTTCTTGATGAGGAAGGGTTATTTTACCTCTCCAATGCTTCTTTCATAGTTCCTTCTGAAGGATGGACATCATCCTTCCAACATCATATACAGTATGCACTCAGAGGAAAGTATAGAATGAGAAAGACTTTACTACAGGAAAGTTTAAGGAGGCTATATTAAACCAGGTCCTCACTGGCCTGATTAGTTAACCCTTACAGGAATGTTCCCAATTCACAGAATTGGTTGAGGTGCCCAAAGCAGATGCTGCCTTCTAAGGTCTGCTGTTCTCATGAGGTTGCTGCATTACTTAAGGGATAGCTGAGGGAACTGTATCTGCTCCTCAGCCGCTAGCAGTCACAGGAACAATACTACTGAAAAGCATTGATGGTTTCAAACTGAGGAGAGAATATGTGCTCCACTCAACCAGCAGCAGTAAGAGGATGACATCTTCCAAAAGCAATGGATGAGTGATTAATGTTTGCTTGCTACTCAGGGTACAGAGATTATATTGAAAAGCTTGAGCTAAAGCTGTTACAGTTTATGAGGCTATGACAAGTGGGGAGGAAAAAGATCCATGTTTTTTCCCCAGTATGAAATTGCTTTTATGTGACTTTTCCTAACAATGCCTATAATTTCAGCCATCACTGCACAAAAAGTCATTAAAAACCCACAACACAGCCATACATTAGAAGAGAGGAAATTACAGATGCGAGGCAGGAGATACAGCACGTCTGCTTTCAGACACTTGTGCTCCATTGCCTCCCATGTCTGCTTCTGCACCTGTTTGTAGCTTCTTTGTACTGTAACCTCTTCAGGGAAATTCCCTTCTATAATCCCTTCATTAGGTGCCCAGTGCATGCTAGTTCTGCATAAATAATAGATGATAAAAGGTTTGCCAATTTGCCTTTTTCAGTGGAAACCACCATATTCAGAAGCATTATAATTCCAATCCTAAAATATTCTTTTCGTTATGAGAAAAGGATGCTCACAAAAAGAGAACTATTTATGAAGACATTTCTTTATTCTATCAAGGAAAGTTGCTCTGAATGACTAGAATTAAAGTGCCCATGTAGTGTATCTGATAACTGTATTACTGTTTATGAAGACAGAAGATTTACTCAGTGCTGTATTTTCATGTGTAATGCAAATATCATACAATAATCACCCATTTAAGAGCACTGACCTTTGAAAAACCAAACCTTCAGATAACCTGTCCAAACTCAGAAGCAAAGTGACACCAGAGATAAAAGGATATTACCTGCATATAATCCCTTCTATTGTCTATTCATACCTTCAAGGCACCATCCCTTCTACAAAGTTCACAGAAAAAGCTCATGCATGCAAGACCAGCAGGATTTGCCAAATTTAATAGGATAAATGCTCCATCTAGCTCAGTATGTCGAGACAGATGATATTTGATTGATAATACAAAGAACAAACCCCACAAGATGTATACAGGTGGGTTTCAGTTCTGTTCATGCATGGGGATTTTTTCCTTACAAGTCATTTACTCTTATAACTTGGAAGACTTCTACACTTACAGAAATACACAAAATGTCTGCATCTGTTCTAATACAATTTTGAATGTTGTCATCGTCTACAAAAGTGCTTACTTTTAGAAGTAATTTAAAATGCTTAAATCTTTTCACACTGATCTTGGTGCTGTGAGTTACACCAGTCCATTATGTGTACAATGGCCAGTCCTATGAATGGGGATTATCACCCACAGTATTAAAGCTCACTTCTCTCCCCTCATGACTTGAAGAGTCAATGGTTTTGTACCTCCTGTTTTCTTCTGCTAGGTACTATTCTCCCTCTTTTCTACCACAGCATCTGTCAAGCCACTGTCTCAGGTCTCCCTATCCTCAGGTGACTTGTTGCAACACCACCAGCCCTACCTGGCCCCACTGAGCTTCTTAGCATGGGGATGGGGTTATCTTCAGCATATCCAGTGTCCTCCCTGA